TACAAGTACCATGTGCCTGTAATTTCACCAGCACCCTTAATCCTTCACCCGGAACGTAGTACTGCCGTGCGCTAGCTAAAATGCGGCTGACAAAATATTTTTTGAGATATAAAAACCATAACCCAGTTTCAGAATATTGATATTGTTTAATGACATTTCAGCTATGCGTCGTTAGGGTAAGTTCCGATAAATCGAACACAATAACTAATTTTAATTGTTTTTAAATGAAAATTTTGTGCTCTATCTTTTTCTATTTAAAACAGATATTTGACCGTTTATCACTTTTATTTATAACATATAAGTGCGCATTTGACTTTCACCTGATGGAAAATGACGATGAGGTCGACGATGCAGCATGCACACCTAAATAATGCCTATTCACTCTCACCTTATAAAGACCTAAGTTATAACGTTCACGGAACAAGTCTGCAGGCAGGGAATTCCACTCCATAGCCGTTCGCCATATAAATGTGGAAGCGTAACGCTTCGTGCGAATCTTTGGAATATCCACAACATAGGCGTGCAACCCAAACCTACGCCTAGTCCCCTGGTGATGGAAAGGGGAATGCGGAATTAAATCGTGTAATTAGCCGCGTTTTAGTTAGTGGACGACAGAATACTGCTCACATTACTGCTTGGCGGCAGAAATTGGTCAGGTGGCAGTACTCTTTCACAAGGTACTCTACTGCTACTAGTTAGGGGGCGTTCCCACTATGTCGTCACGTTTTATTTTCGTTGGACGACTGTCGTGTCTAGCCTGTTCCCATATCACGACTATCTGTCGTGGACGATTTTTTATCGTTGAACGACTGTCGTGACTAGCTGTTCTCACTTGATCGTCACGACAATTCATCGTTTCACGACAGCCTCCTTGTCGTTTGCACGACAAAATCGTTTGATGCACTGCAGTCGCTTGTATGTTCTTTCGGAAGCCGGTAGTGTTGTGTTCGCTCGAAATGGATGAAGACGAAATTTTAATAATGTATTATTTTATTTATAATGCGGAAGAGCAAGCAAAGAAAAGAAAATATAACGTGACGACAATAGGAGCTGCGACAATCTGTCGTCACGTTTTTATCGTGACTTTTTTATCGTCTGATGACTGTCGTTCTAACTGTTCCCACTGTGACGACAGTTTGTCGTTGTAACTATAAAAAATCGTTAACGACAGTTAATCGTGTCGCTATATTTTAACAACTTCATTTAAATATACAAGCCACGACACTGTAAACTGCACGACAATCTGTCGTCACGACATAGTGGGAACGCACCCTTAGTGTGTGCAAAAAAATAACCACCAAAAGAGAGTAAAAAGATCTATAACAGAAACACATAGGAGAATTGACTTTGACTTCGACAGCTCGGGAACTTGACCTGTGGCTCACTTGGTAAGAGCAATGCTACTGTGCAGGTAATAGAAATAAACGGAGAAAAGTTAGACCTTGTTAATAAAGCAGGCTTCTTGGGAGTGACTTTAGATAGTAAACTTCAATGGTTTCCACATATATCATCCCTGGCCAGCAGATTCAGCTCTGCTGCATACGCAGGCCGCAGAATACGTGAGCTTACCGATGTTAGTACCACTAGACTAGTTTACTTTAAATACTTCCGTAATATAATGTCCTACGGGGTTCTCATGTGGACTAAAGCGGCAGACGTTCAAACCATATTTGTATCGCAAAAACGAGCTATTCGTTCTGTATACCGTTTAAGCTCTCGGGTCATTTTAGGAGACTGGTATCAAGTCTATGGCATCACAGTACATTTACTCAAATATTTTATATGTCCGCAAAAATATACATAATTTCGATAAGAAAGAAGATATCCATAATATTAACCTTAGAACTAAGTCCAAACTCATGGTACCACGATTTCGTTTAACCAAGGTAAACAACTCTTTTATGGGGAACTGTATACGTTTTTACAATAAGATTCCTGGAGCATATATTAAGTTTATCATTTCCTAAGTTTAAAAACTACATTAAACATATTATAATTTCAAAGTCATATTACAAAAGTGAAGAGTATGTTTTAGATAAAGAAGCATGGAGAGACAACGTGTGTCTAGATTCCACACAATTATGATTCGAAATGTATTCTATAGCATTTACGTTTATTTGTAAGAGTAATCCCTAGAGTTTCTAGCTCGTTCTTCTCAGGGAACGAGCTGTAGCTTAAATGTGACGTTTTCAAGTGTAAATTTATTTTACCTATGGAATAAATGATTTGGCTGCTAGGTATACAAGCGATATTCGTATACTATCAGATTGGTATCGAAGTGCACAAGCGTAATTCGAAGTGGGTCCGAGTTTTCTAGATTTTTTATAGTCTCGGATTCCGAACGTATACGAAACGGATGTAATGACTTTGACTTTGCAGCATGGTCGTAGGTTCAAGTCCCACAGGGTCGAAGAAATTTATCTAAGTATTGATTTTTGTATCCGTAATCATAACAAAACTAGTGGAATTTTTTTTAATTTATTTGGGTCAACAAACAGTAGACACAATAAAAACTTAAATGTAATTTTTTTACAGTAAATATGTAGTGATTGTGTCACCAATACCGTTAACCAGTAGTTACTACAAAAAACTTAGAAGTGGTGATGCATTTCTAATAAACTACTAAACAGTAAATAATTAAAAAATAGTTATTATGTACAATACTAAACAAATTAAACCTTGATACAAAAATAGTAATAATAATTACTACATAAGTGCACATGGGTTATACACATAACGAGTTATATTGTATGACACAAGATTCCAAGGCTTAATATAAAAGGAAAAGAAAAATAATAATTGAGTAGTAAAGAATTTCATACATCTCTAAGCAAGTTCAAAATTATATTTTTAAACAAACCAATGCGGGTAGATAATGTCTACAGAGTTAAAGTGGGTATTGTAATTTTATGAAACAACAACATACATTTAAAATGAAACTATTTTGCCGGATTTCAATCGCGTATATTTGTTTTTTCAAACGTTTCGGGCCCTTTACAGGTGCCATGGTCACGGTTATGGTCACGCACCAGTTATGTATAACATTAATGAAAACCACCCTATTTTTCACTATAGTTACAATAGTTATTAATTAAATATCTTATTTTTAATTTTACAAAGAAAACATTCCAATTTGCGCTACATTAAGTTTTAGAAATTATTTTATTGAATGAATTTTATTAACTTCAATTTATTATTAATTAATAATAGAAACTAGAATAAACTAAAACATATTAATTAGTACTGCAGTCTTATGTCTGTTTGGGATTTTTCATCAGAGGAAATACTGCATCCCAAACTGGTGGTACGGAGAAACCATCTTCCCTGTTGAAATTAGGATGTTTTTGAATTTCAATGGCCTCTCCTGCATCCTGGGTAGATAACGGACTTCTTTTGCAAGTACCTGGGGTTTGTCGAACTTCATTGAAAACTAGTGGAGTTATTTCAAAAAAATCTCAATAGTACAAACGAAAGGCGGAATTAAATCATGCAATTCCCTCGCACACTCCATAATATAACCCGTAGCAACCGATAAGCAGACAACTTGTAATTGTAACAGCTCGAGATCAACATGTCAGTATAAATGTTAATTTTCAACTTCCAGATCCCGATAAATGGACAAAGTTATTTGATAATATGAAACAAAAAATCTTCGAGAATCCACACAAGGGATCCGATTATCTACTGCTTACGAAATACAAGGAGAAATTGTACGAGCTCTACGATTACGGTAAATATAAGTATGATTAATCTATTGATTTGAAAACTCCTCGACGTGGCGTCACTGTCGTCTTATTTGTGTGCTGTGTCCAACTGGGTTCCGAAACTCCAATTTAAGCGTGTCCACCTGCTACATTGTAAACTTTTGGGTTAAGTAGTCTCCGAAAAACCGACCTAAATATTTTGTTTAATTACATTGCCAAGTTTTCTTGCCATCGGTCAACGGAAGTGGGTGAAATCCAATGAACCGGATTCATCCCTTAATTTGCCACCCTTAGGGATGGAATATTTTCTTCAAATTTGAATGGGACCACTTCTTTCTTTTTTTTTTATAAAAACGAAGTGACGGGACGAACAAGTCGTGCGCCTGATGGTAAGCGACACGCCTGTCCATAACAGTTGCAGTACCACTCAGCGTTTTAAATCACAAAGATCTGAGGACACTGTCAGTGCGTCCGACATAAGTTGACAAGTCCCATATGCCTGTAATTTCACCAGCACCCTTGCCTTTCAGAACAGGAACGCTGTAATGCTGACATTACTGCTTGACGGCAGAAATAGGCAAGGTGGCAGTACTACCCTGGACGAACTCTTTCACATGGAGCTCTACCACCACTAGAAATTCAATTAAAATACTTTTAATGCAAGTCAGGGTAATGGTCGCAGTGGCAGTCCCCTTCAGATCTTTGCGATTTAAAGCTCGTGAGTGGCACTGCAAATGTTATGGACAGGCACGTCGCATACCATCAGGCGCACGACTTGTTCGTCTCTTCACTTAATATAAAAACAAAAAATGTTTCAATAGGGTAATCCCTAGAGTTTCTTGCTCGTTCTTCTCAGGGAAGTCAGCGTAGTGAACGAGCATTAGAAGTCTTCGATTGTAAATTCATTTTGCCTTTTATGGAATAAATTATTTTTCGACTTTAACTTGACAATGTATTATGTATTTCCCAGTACCAATTCCGTCAGTAAAAGCACCAACAGAAAAAGCCCTAAAAGATCTCCTTCGTCAGCTGCATAATGCCGAACCGAGAACAGAACTTCGACTATCCCAGCTGTGTCCACTATTGGGCGAGAGATGTGAGGACACAGATGTGTATTTGGCGAAGCTGCTAGGTTTGAAACCGGGTTGTTTTGTTGTCAAGTTTGATGAACAGGTAATTTATTATTATTATAACTTTGTATGCTGCAAGGCGGGTCACAGTGATTCAATATGAACTTTTTGTTACACCTTTTGTAACCTGTGTATCACAAAGAAATAAATGTATTTGAATTAATACACAATACAAATTTAATTATAGTTAATAGTGACATCTCTAGCCAGGGCTGGCAGCTGTAAAGTTACCTAACTGGGTGACGAAATACTTTCATAAATGGCGCTACGGCTAAAAAGTCGTTGAAAACCAAATACAAAAGATCCGTCAAACGAGCACATAGAAAAATTCGTGAGGTCCGCTGGTTCGTCCCGTTGCATAGCGTCTGGCACGATTTGCTTGAAGACGAATAATTTTTCTAAGTGTCGTATCTTTGTATTAATAATTATAACAAACTAGTGGAGTAGTTTCAAAAAAATAATTGAATATCAATTCAATACAAATTTAGGTAATTTATTGTCATTTTAAGTGTATTTAATATAATAACGTGTATTTAAAGTGTATATAATTCGAACACCCACCTTACCTATTTCAGTCGTCAAACAACAATGCTCACATTACTGTGTTTCGGTTTCGAAGGGTAACGGTGCTGGTGAAAGTACAGGCACATAGGACGTTTCAACTTCTCAGGCCGCGTTCGACTATGTGTCGTGGACGTTTCTTTTATCGTTGAACGACTGTCGTGCCTAGCTATTCCCACTAGATCGTGACGACAATTTATCGGTTCATGGCAGCCGCCTTGTCGTTTGCACGGCAGAACCATTTGAAGCTACGATTATCTGTCGTCACATTTTTATCGTGACACAACTCGTCCCATTGTCACGACAGTCCGTCGTCGTAACGTCAAAAGAGTCGTGAACGACAGTCAATCGTGTTGTTCTATGTGTGAACAACTTCATTTAAATATACTGAATGAATAAGTGAAGAATGATTTCTTTTTGGCACGCTAGCGTGGACTTAAAGCATTTAGGACTGGAGGCGTCATTGATAGGTAGTCCCCTCTGTCAAGGTAAAAGCATAAAACAACCATCGCACAATAAACACTACTACTATACAAGCCACGACTCTTTAAACTGCATGACCATCCGTTGTCACGATCTAGTAGGAACAGCTAGACACGACAGTGCCCCTCAGATCAGAATCTTGGTGATTCGCCTGGTATTATAACGAATTTTTGTCCGAATTGTGCCTGTGAGATTTGAATAAGAAAACACTGTTTAGCTATTTAATTAGAATTTAATATGTAATTACGTGCAAGGCGTGATCGAGTCCGGTAACAGACAGAGAGAGTGAGCACGTGAGATGCCAACATCACTTTGAAGCGCGTTCCCACGGTGCCTTTCTTCTGAGGACAGAGTACTTGTTTCAGGTACCAGTGTTTACAGACTCGATCCGGCGTCCAATAATCCTACGCGCCCTTCTCACTAATGGCACGTATAAGAATTTTATGATAAAAAGCGGTGAGCCGTTAATCACCGACGCAGCTGCTCAGAGGGTTGTGAGACATGCTGGTTTGATGTGGGAAGAGAAAGTTGGTCAGAATTATGTCGTCAGTTATAAGGTATGTACGGTAAGCTAGCTAGAGAGCAACGTCGTCACTTTTAAGCAAGGGTCCAAGTGATAATTATCGCTGATTGGTAATATATCATGATAATTATAAAAATAGATAGAAAATATCATATTCATTTACGACCTAAAGATCATCAGTAGGGTGCATACAGACCTGAAGAATGCACGCGCGCGCTGAATGCGTGCAGTTAAATACACGTAATGCACGTGCGCAGCTCGCGAGCTTTTTCGCACCCTTAGATAGTAAATTAAAAAAAATGAGATTTACAACTGATTTTGCTAAAAATTTTTAACCTAAAAAAATTTCCATCATGTATCGACCTAGTTCAAAAGTTCCCATTGTACTGGTAGACAGAAGAGAAAAGACAGAGCGGCGATTTTGCCAATTGGATATTTTGCAATTAGGACATTTTTCATTTTGGACGTTTTGTAAAATGGACATTTTGCGACTTGCATTAATTGTTTGCAGGTGACACCACTAAGCGATGATTGCGGATTAATAGAGTATCTTGAAGACCATGACCGATTAAGGAGTTTGATATCAAATGCGCGTGATTTGGGCACAGAGTATGATGGTAAAATACTACTTGATTTTTAATTATTATTAATATAATATATATTCAAGGCTCTTTTATACAGATCCACCGGTTTTCTGGGTACATGAAAGACGTATTACAGTGGTAGCTTAGTGGGGAAAACGTTTGCTTTTCAATGGAGAGGTCGATGATTCGAAGACTTAAGTCTGTCTGATTAGCTTATAATGCGTCAAATGTATTAGCTAATCTATTATACGCAGACCGGAATAACTTTCCCAAATCGATATTTTTTTATTGTGGAAAAACTTTTTTTATAATATTTAGTGACCGGGACAAACAAGTCGTCTGTCTGTTAGTAAGCGACACGTCTATCCCTAGCATTTGGAGTGTCACTCATAGCTTTAAATCGCAAAAATCTAAGGGACACTGCGCCTGAAACGTAAGTTGACAAGTCCCTTATGCCTGTAATTTCACCAGCACCCTTACCCTTCAAACCGAAACTTATTATTTACACGTGTAGTCTGCGACGTATGACGCAACGCGGGTGTACGGTAACTGGCCTCGGAAACGTCGGTACATGAATCCGCTTGGTCAGAACTCCTTCAGGAAGGTCTACATATGTTCAGTTGGTATTCTCACCACAAATGAATTCAAATTTTGTTTATGTTACCAAGTGACTGGACGATCAAGCGGTTACAGTGCCATTCAGAGCTTTAAATCGCAAATATCTAAGGGACACTGCCACTGCGCCTCTCACCCTGAGACATAAGATGACAAGTCCCATGTGCAATTTCACCAGCACCCTTTCCCTACAGAACCAAGACACAGTAATGCTCAGAAATAGGTAAAGTGGCAGTAAATCTCTGGACGAACCTTTCACAAGGAGCTTTCCTGCTACTAAATACACATTGTGGTGAAACCCCAACTGCTCGACCCTCAGAGTGAAATTGGTCTTCACCCGTTTATACTCCACAATATCCTAACAACTTAACAATAAGGGCGCGTTCCCTTTAACGAACGAACGGCGAATGATGCTCGTGTAGTTTAAAGTATCATGGCTTGTATATTTAAATAAACTAGTTTACATAAAGTACAACACGATTCACTGACGTTCACTATTTTTTTTTAACGTTACGACTACAGACTTTTGTGGTAATGGGAAGATCTAGAACGACAGTCATCCACAATACATAAATCGTCACGGTAAAAAGGTCGAAACGATTCTGTCGTGCAAACGACAAGGCGGCTGCCGTGAACCGATAAATTGTCGTCACGATCTAGTGGAAACAGCTAGACACGACAGTCGTTCAACGGTAAAATAAACGTCCACGACACAGTCGCGACAAATAGTCGTGATATGGGAACAGGCCAGATGCGACAGTCGGTCAACAATACACGCCCTGTTCGGTATTCTGCCTGTGCTATTCAATTTATAATGATATCGAATGCCCCACGTACTGGCTGAAACGAAACTGGCTGTGTGGTGTCTTCGGTGTTGACGTTAGCAGTCAGTGTCGCTGTAAAACCCAATTTGCTTGAAAATGTTTTAATTATTCCTTTTTTTTATCTTTTCTATTTCTACGACTGATTATTATAATACAAACAAACAAGACTGTGCCATCTGCCCCGCTGGAGACTCACACGCGCACCGCTGCCGTCGTAGTGAAGGTAGGAACGCGTGAGTACTTATATATCGTTTTAGCCAGGATAGCACAGGCAAAAAATTACTAGCGCCCTAAATACAGTTCACCTATAGCCGCGTGTCTCGGCTTCCTTATACCACACGCCCTAACCAACTATTATTTTTGTTTTCAGCCTCCGTCGCAAGAATACGACGTCCTGATGACTCTGAACTCCTCCTTTCCCCTGTACCGTCTCTTGTCCAAAAACACAACCAGCTGAGGTCTTTAGTCCCGGCGTACACGCTGCGCGATGCCATCTTGCAAACATGCGTTAGCATTCAGGAGTTCGTATCGAAGAGAGAGCAGTTTCAAAATTGTTTAGCTGGTGTCACTGTCCTTGGATGGATTTTGGGTGAGAACACTGAGACATAACTGCCAACCATTTTTTCACATTTTGAAGACTTACGGTATTTTATAATTATTAATGCAAGTCCGCTGGTTCGTTCCGTGGCTTAGTTGGTATAGCGTCTG